CCTGTGGCCTGGGACCTCCAAGATGTTTTTATTTGAGGACCGTAAGGTCCTCCGTGGGACATACCAGTACGTGGGTCCTAGGCCGTATAGGGATTAAAGGTAAAGGGGCCCCTGACCATTTGGTCCAGTTGTGACCGACTCTGGGATTGCGGCGCTCATCTCGCTTTATTGGCCGAGGGAGCCGGCGTATAGCTTCTGGGTCATGTGGCCAGCATGACTAAGCCGCTTCTGGCAAACCAGAGCAGCACACGGAAACGCCGTTTACCTTCCCGCCGGAGCGGTACCTATTTATCTACTTGCACTGGTGTGCTTTCGTACTGCTAGGTTGGCAGGAGCAGGGACCAAGCAACGGGAGATCACCCCATCACGGGGATTCGAACCGCGACCTTCTGATCAGCAAGTCCTAGGCTCTGTGGTTTAACCCAGTGTTCCCCAACCTTGGGCCTCCAGCTGTTTTTGGACTACAACTCCCATCATCCCTCGCTAGCAAGACCAGTGGTCAAGGATGATGGGAATTGTAGTCCAAAAACAAAGCTGGAGGCCCAAGGTTGGGGAACACTGGTTTAACCCACAGCGCCACCCGCGTCCCTTAAAGGTTAAAACCAGCACCTTAAACCTGATCCTATACTCCACCGGGAGCCAGTGCAGCTGGCATAGCACTGGGTGAATGTGATCCCCCGGCAAGGACCCCGTAAGGAGTCTCGCCGCAGCATTCTGCACCCACTGGAGTTTCTCAGTCAGTCTCAAGAGCAGCCCCACATAAAGCGAGTTACAATAATCCAGCGAGTTACGAATCTCCCTCGTGGATTTGCCTTCTGCTTTGACCGACTAGTGCTCTAATTTTGGTCCCTTACCTTTCCCTCCCTGAACTGGCCACAGTGATCCATGCGATGGTCACCTCCAGGCTTGACTACTGTAATTCGCTCTACGTGGGGCTGCCCTTGAAGCTGTCCCAGAAACTCCAGCGGGTGCAGAATGCTGCAGCGAGGCTCCTCACGGGGTCTCTGCCATGGGAGCATATTCACCCAGTGCTTTTCCAGCTGCACTGGCTCCCGGTGGAGTACAGGGTCAGGTTCAAGGTGCTGGTTTTGACCTTTTAAGCCCTTCACGGCCTAGGACCCCCGTACCTACGGGACCGCCTCTTCTGGTATGCCCCACAGAGAGCCTCAAGGTCCATAAATAGCAACACCCTAGAGGTCCCGGGCCCTAAGGAAGTTAGATTAGCCTCAACCAGAGGCAGGGCCTTTTCAACATTGGCTCCAGCCTGGTGGAATGCTCTGTCTCACGAAACCAGGCCCCTGCGGGATCTGATTTCTTTCCGCAGGGCCTGTAAGACAGAGTTGTTCCACCTGGCCTTTGGCTTGGAATCAACTTGATCCCCTTCCCCTCTTTCCTTTTTCCTTTCCTCTTCTGTGATGGAACTCCTATTTGGGGACTTCCATGGCTTTTTTCTGGCCCACGTAGGACCAGTATGGATAGTTGGCCTTGGTGAAGATTTGACATTTCCATCCCCCAAAAGTTTGAGTTTCTACTGAAACGAGACTGCATTTTAATGTTGTATTTTAATCTTGTTTTTAAGTTGCATTTTAATCAATTGTTTTTATATCAGGTGTTAGCCGCCCTGAGCCCAGTCTTGGCTGGGGAGGGTGGGGTATAAATAAAATTTATTATTATTATTATTATTATTATTATTATTATTACTATTACTATTATTTTCTTCTTAACCTTGTTTCTTTTTCAAGCCAAGCTTATTCTTCTTTTCCCCCCTTTAAGGTCAGTTGAGATTCTGGAATCCCGACGACCTGAATGCCTCTCCAAACATCTCCCCCACCCAAGACTGGATAGAGGAGAAGCTGCATGAGGTCTGCGAAAGCTTAGGCATCTGCAGAGACGGGCATCTCAGCAGAAAGAAGCTGGTCTCCATTTGCAAACAGTACGGCTTGCAGAATGTCGACATACAGGTACCCGTTCTGAGCACTTTCCCCTTCTTCTCAATTCAGGCTGGCTGCCATGGCTGCAGATATAATAATAATAATAATAATAATAATAATAATAATAATAATAATAATTTATTTATACCCCAACCTCCCTGGCCAGAGCCGGGCTCAGGACGGCTAACACCAATAAAATCACAGTAAAAACATAATAGGAAGAAAAAGAGAGGGGGGAACCAATTAAAAATGCAATTTAAAATGCAGCCTATTTATAAAGGTAAAGGGACCCCTGACCATCAGGTCCAGTCATGACCAACTCTGGGGTTGTGCCGCAACGGGACTGAGCAACGGGAGCTCACCCCGTCACGGGGATTCGAACCGCCGACCTTCTGATCGGCAAGTCCTAGGCTCTGTGCCACAGCGCCTCCCGCGTCCCTGAGCATGCATATGCAGCGAAATCAAGACCATAAGGGGAGGGAAACATCAGACTGAGTCCAAACCAAAGGCCAGGCGGAACAGCTCTGTCTTGCAGGCCCTGCGGAAAGATGTCAAGTCCCGCAGGGCCCTAGTCTCTTGTGACAGAGCGGTCCACTAAGTCGGGGCCAGCAGTGGTTCTCCCCTTTTTCTGCTCTCTCTGAGGGTGTATTTTGATCCTTCTCAGGTGGCAGAGGACGTCTTCCGCAACCTCGAGCACGACGGCACGATGAGCATCGAAGACTTTTTCTACGGCTTCTTCAAAATCGGGAAGCCTCTCCCACCTTCGGCTTCGACCCCCTACAGGCAACTCAAGCGCCATCTCTCCATGCAGGTGAGAAACCTCAGCTGTACTCCCCCTTCCGCACCCCCATCTCAATTGTCTGAAATCAGTTGGATTTCACAAGGACAGAAGAACGAGGAAATCCCAACGAAAGAACAATGGCAAGAAAAACTGATGAGCTATGCGGAGTTGGCAAAGTTAACGTATAAATTACGTGAGAAGTGTAGTGTTCCCAAAGCAAGGCAGGATTTTACTCTTCAAACCCCACTGTGGTCTTTGCAGTTGGGAAATAAGTTTTTATGTAGACTAGAAAGGGCTTCGAGTCTTCTTTAAAAGACTCCAAATTTGTATCTCTTATCAGTGCCGTCAGTTTTGCCATCTCTGCTTATTCCAAGATTTTCACAGCCCAGTGCGTAAGCGACCAGAGGGGGGCTGGAATTTCAGCACAACCGATTATTGCAGGGGCTGGACTAGATAACTCTAGAGATCCCTTCCAGCTCTCCATTCCTGTGGTTCTTTGTCTCTCCCATTCTCAGTCCTTTGATGAATGTGGAAGGCGGACCACCACGCCTTCGGCTATGACAAGCACCATTGGGTTCCGCGTTTTCTCCAGCCTGGATGATGGAATGGGCTACGCGGAGGTAGAGCAGATCCTTGACGCCTGGCATGAAGAAGGAATCGAGAACAGCCATGAGATCCTGAAGGTAAGCGCTTCGACTGCCTCTCGGCCACCGCGGCACGTCCAAAACGGTGAATTTGAAGGTGACTCGGAAACTACAACTAATCCAGAATGCGGCAGCTAGACTGGGGACTGGGGGCGGCCGCCGAGACCACATAACACCGGTCCTGAAAGACCTACATTGGCTCCCAGTACATTTCCGAGCACAATTCAAAGTGTTGGTGTTGACCTTTAAAGCCCTAAACGGCCTCGGCCCAGTAGACCTGAAGGAGCGTCTCCACCCCCATCGTTCTGCCCGGACGCTGAGGTCCAGCGCCGAGGGCCTTCTGGCGGTTCCCTCATTGCGAGAAGCAAAGCTACAGGGAACCAGGCAGAGGGCCTTCTCGGTAGTGGCGCCCGCCCTGTGGAACGCTTCCATCAGATGTCAAAGCGATAAATAACTACCTGACATTTAGAAGGCATCTTAAGGCAGCCCTGTTCAGGGAAGCTTTTAATCTGTGATATTTTACTGTATTTTTTGTTTCTATGGAAGCCGCCCAGAGTGGCTGGGGAAGCCCAGCCAGATGGGCGGGGTACAAATAATAAATTTTTATTATTATTATTATTATTATTATTATTATTATTATTATTATTCAATGTGGTGTGGCTGCCTTGGTGCTTCCGCATTTTATTTTAGATCACTATATAACACCCAAGATAACTGGGTGGAAATCTGAAAACTACCGTATTTTTCGCTGTATAAGACACACTTTCCCCCTCCTAAAAAGTAAGGGGAAATGTGTGTGCGTCTTATGGAGCAAATGCAGTGGGGAGGCTGTGCTCAGCGCTCCCTTTAAAGAGCCGTGTGGAGTGTGTGTGCTGCTCTTGGGGGCTGCCCTTCTCCCACCTTGGGGAAAAGCCCCGAAGAGCCACACACACACTCCATGCGCTCTTTAAAGGGAGCGCGGCTCTTGGGGGAGCCTTAGCCACGCGCAGCCTCTCCCGGGCAGGGGATGAAGGCTCCCCTTGCCCGGCAGAGGCTGCGCGCAGCCAACCAAGAAGCGAGGACAACCAGTGGGATCGCTGCGCTGCAATCCTGCTGGCTGTCCTGGCTTCTTGTTTAGACGCGCACAGCCTCCCCAGCCCAGGAGAGGCTGCACGCGGCTATCCCATAAGCCAGGACAGCTAGTGGAATCACTGCGCAGCGATCCCGCTGGCTGTCCTGGCTTATGGGATTCAGAATATTTTTTTCCTTGTTTTCCTCTTCCAAAAACTAGGTGCGTCTTATGGTCTAGTGCGTCTTATAGAGCGGAAAATACAGTAATCAGCCAAAAGAAGACGCAGCTTCTTAATTGATGGGAAATTCTTTCCTCTTGCTTTCTGGCAGGCCTTGGACTTCAACCTGGATGGAAGAATTAACCTGACGGAGTTGACTCTTGCCCTGGAAAATGAACTTCTCATAACGAAAAATGGGATATACCAAGCTGTGCTGGCCAGCTTCAAAACAGAGATCCGGCATTTAATGTAAGTTTGTAATTTTTGAAGAATGTGTCCTTTTATGTTTCTGGACCCACCCAAATTTTCAGATAGAATCATAGAATCAAAGAATTGTAGAGTTGGAAGGGACCTTCTGGTCAATGTGGGAATCTTTTTGCTCCATGTGGGGCTCAAACCCACAACCCTGCAATTAAAAGTCTCACACTCTACCAACCAAGCTATCCAGCAAAGTTGTCCCGTTCATTCAAGGCTTTTCCCCTTGTGCAATGGAAGCTATCCTTCCTCTTCTCCTGTCTGTGTCTCCCAAATCTGTCTGGGGGTTCCCACAAGTCTCCAGAGCAGAATTGGGGTGGGGGAATATGGGGAGAGGACAAGCAGGGGAATTTCTGCTGTGGAAGTGAGATCCCATATGCCAATGGTATGACTTTTTTAATAATAATAATAATAATAATAATTTATTCTTTTTTCCATATAGAAAATTACATTTGTTACTCAACAACTATATTCCAATTCAACAAAACTAATGACTTCCCACTCGCCCAACGTCGAAATTTATAACTCAAATTACATACAAATTCGGTCCCGCCTTTTCTAATTTCATCCTCTCTAACATGTGTCTTAATATATTCTGCAATTTTCTTACACTTCAAACCCCACTATGGTCTTTGCAGATGGGAAATAACTTTTTATGTAGACTAGAAAGGGCTTCCAGTCTTTTTTAAAAGATTCCAAATTTGTATCTCTTATCAGTGCCGTCAGTTTTGCCATCTCTGCTTATTCCAAGATTTTCACAGCCCAATGCGTAAGTGACCAGAGGGAGACTCTTAAAAAGCAAGTGCCTTTGCTCTAGACTGCCAGCGCTCAAAGGCAACTTAAGCAAAAGTCTTTAAAAGTTTGCAGAAGCTGCAGTTCCCAGAAGGAACAGTCCCCAGGTTCCTTTGGGGGGAAGCCAGGTGTTCTCATTGAATTGTGGCAGCGACAACCCAGTCAGATGGGTGGGGTACAAATAATAAAGTTGTTGTTGTTGTTGTTGTTGTTGTTATGCGTCTGTGACCCTTGTGAGTTTGTGAAAGAGATGAGGCTTGAACCCAGAGTTTCCTGATCCACAACTCAGTCTCTTCGCCACTTTTTCTTTGGCGATCACCCGTAGCCGAGTAAGATTGTCTTCCATAAACACAGTTTTAACAATGAGTCTGTAAGTGACTGTGGAGGCCAATTCTGGATCCACACGTCCTTCCACAGTGGGGACATTGGTTTCTGGGTGGGAGTTGATCACGGTGTGGATTTGCCAAGCGTGCCTTCCTCTTAGCACGTTTCTCCCTTGCATCCTGAGTTTGAGTGTCTTCAAAGCCCATGACACCTTTGGTCAAGGCTGTTCTCCAACTGGAGCGCTCGCAGGCCAGTGTTTCCCATTTGTCGGTGGTCATACTACCTTTTTAAAGATTTGCCAGTCTTTGAACTCTTCGCCACTAACACAAGCCTGGCTCAGGTCAGGCAGGCCAGGATCCCAGTCTGATAGTGCAGAACTTCTTTCCCTTTGCTAGGGAGCAAGCGGACCAAGAAGCCCGGGAGAAGGAGAAGCTCCGTTTGGACTTGGAGAAGGCGGAGAAATGGAAACTGTTCATGACCTCCGAGGTGGATGAGCGGCACTCTGCCATCGAGCGCCAAAACGAATACAACCTGAGGTAGCTTTCCCGCTTCTTGGGATTTCCCTTCTCCATTCACAGCATCTCAGTCACTTAAGGGTCCCTAAGACCTACTGGGAACATAGAAGCAGAAACTTCTATGTGTGCCAGTGTGGTGTAGTGGTTAAGAGCAGTGGACTCGTAATCTGGGGAACTGGGTTCGCTTCCCCGCTCCTCCACATGCAGCTGCTGGGTGACCTTGGGCCAATCACACTTCTCTGAAGTCTCTCAGCCTCACTCACCCCACAGAGTGTTTGTTGTGGGGGAGGAAGGGAAAGGAGAATGTGAGCCGCTTGGAGACTCCTTCGGGTAGTGATAAAGCGGGATATCAAAGCCAAACTCCTCCACTCCTCCTCCAAACTGGCCAGGCTGGGCAACTGGAGGGCCATCAATGGGCAGCTTCATTGAGCTGGTCCCGTTTCTGATCTGCTTTTTGCACATGCTCAGAATATCCGTGGGAGTGGGTGGGAACTCCTTGTGTTTAGCCTGAAGAAGAGGAAACAGAGAGGTGGCACGAGAGCCATCGTGTCGAATGGGAGGTGCGGAGCGAGCATGTATCCCGCTGCTCCCGAGGAGTCGAGTGACAAGAAAGGAGATTCCGACTCAACTTCAGGAACCAGGCCGCTGGTCCCTGGTGAGCCGAGGGTTTGATCCTCAGCAACCTCTCTCGATCTGTGTGTGCAGCAAGCTGGAAGAGGAGTACAAGGAGAGGGTGGCAGCGCTCAAGAGCGAGTTGCAGAGAGAGCGGGAGCAGATCCAGCAGCAGGCCAGCAAGCAGCAAGCCGACCTGGAGGAGGAGATGGCGAAGCTGAGGACCGAGGAGAACGACTTGCGGGACTGCCTGGCTCTGACGCTGAAGGTGAGCGGGGAGGGCGTCAGAGGGGAGGCTTCACAGGAGACACTGTGCCTGGCCAACCCACATTCCTCATTCTCAGTAAAGTCAGTGGGTCCTGTGATCCAAGGGCTTTTTTTCAACTGGGACTCGCCAGAACTCAGCAGCTCTCAGGTGGGCATCTTTGCCATTCTAAGAGAAAGAGGGAGGCATTCATGGTGAGTTCCGGCATCTCTCTCTCTTTATATAGAAAATAGTACTATGCCACACATGCATAGGCACGCGGGTGGCGCTGTGGGTTGAACCACAGAGCCTAGGACTTGCAGATCAGAAAGTCAGCGGTTCGAATCCCCGCGACGGGGTGAGCTCCCGTTGCTCGGTCCCTGCTCCTGCCCACCTAGCAGTTCGAAAGCACGTCAAAGTGCAAGTAGATAAATAGGTACCGCTCCGGCAGGAAGGTAAACAGCGTTTCCGTGCGCTGCTCTGGTTCGCCAGAAGCGGCTTAGTCCTACTGGCCACATGACCTGAAGCTGTACGCCGGCTCCCTCGGCCAATAAAGCGAGATGGGCACCGCAACCCCAGAGTCGGCCATGACTGGACCTAATGGTCAGGGGTCCCTTTACCCTTTACTTTTTATGCCACTCATGCACTTTTTTGTGTCTGCATTTATAACCAAGAAGTTGCAAACCTACTCCCAAGATGCTGGTTAAAAGTACCGTATTTTCCCCTCTATAAGATGCACCTTTTTTCTCCTAAAAAGTAAGGGGAAATGTGTGTGTGTGTTATGGATCGAATGCAGGCTGCGCAGGTATCACTGAAGCCAGCACAGCAAGAGCGAGAGCTGCGCAGCGCTTCTGGGTCACTGGCTTCCCAGCGAAGCGGGATGAGAGACAGAAAGGATCCCTTATTTTCAGGGAGGTGGGAGAAGAGACGGAGGGCAGCCCGTCAGTCCCTTCTCCCACCTCCCGGAAAAGCCAGCAAGAGCTGCTCTATCTTTAAAGAGCCGCAGCGAGCGAGCGTGTCTGCGGCTCTTGCTGGCTTTTCTTGTTTCCCTCCTCTAAAAATTAGGTGCATCTTATGGTCGGGTGCATCTTATAGAGCGAAAAAAACGGTAGGTTACCAGAGTTAAAGGAGAGTTCAAGAGGTAGTTGGGTGGCAGAGTGTCTGCCGTTATAAGATAACAAGGGAGGCGTTCGTGGTGAGTTCCGGCACCTCTTTTTCTAGAATGATAGCATTAGGTGCCGCTGGGGCTCGTCCACCTGAGAAGGGAGCCCATCTAGGAGAAGGAACACTCTGATCCTCCACCTCTGCTGCCTTGTGGGACATCTTTGGGAGCTGAAAAAGTTAAGGAGTAAAGCCCACACAAATCTGGATTGGAGTCCCTAAAACGGTTGGGATGGAGCCTTGCACGTCTCCTTGTGCCAACTGCTGCAGCCAAGCTGGGCCCAAACATCTTGCTCTGCTTTCCTTTGGACCACATCACCGAGGTCAAGATGGAGGTCTTGTCATCTGGGCAGCCCAGGACCTCCAGACACACTTGCCCAGGCTTGCACCCCAGGGAGGTCACTTCAGTGCTGCTAAAACAGCGATTTAACTTCACCCCCGGAGGCACATTGTCTTGTGGGACAGACAGATGCCAATCATATTTGTTGTATCCTGACAAGACCGATGTACTGTTTTGGGGGGACAAGGGGTGGGAGGGCTGGTGTGGAGGACTCCCTGGTGCTGAATGGGGTAACTGTGTCCCTGAAGAACCACGTGCGCAGCCTGGGAGTCATTCTGGACTCACAGCTGTCCATGGAGGCGCAGGTTAATTCTGTGTCCAGGGCAGCTGTTTACCAGCTCCATCTGGTACTCAGACTGAGACCCTCCCTGCCCGCAGACTGTCTCGCCAGAGTGGTGCATGTTCTAGTTATCTCTCACTTGGACTACTGCAATGTACTCTATGTGGGGATACCTTTGAAGGTGATCCAGAAACTGCAGTTAGTCCAGAATGCGGCAGCCAGACTGGTGACTGGGAGCGACCGCCGAGACCACATAACACTGGTCTTGAGAGTTCTGCATTGGCTCCCAGTACATTTTCGAGTACAATTCAAAGTGTTGGTGTTGAGGAGATTTCACCCCTCCCATATCCAAGAATCTGCTGATGTTCTCTGCTGATTCTCCAGAGAGGAGGGGCGGTTTCTGCTCTCTACTTATTCCTCTCCAGCCTCACATCAAAGAGTGAGAGAGAGACTGAGTGTTAGAGAGAGATCTTGTGTATAGATAAGGTTGCTGCTAAGAGCAGCTGCAGACACTCAGTGCAGTTCAGCTTCCTCATTTAGCTCTGTACATAGTTGTGTATTATAGTTGTAGATAGAATAAAAGAAGATATTCTACAGAGCTGCTCTCCGAGTCGTTTATGCTCTGCTATACTCTGCTATACTCTGCTGTGCGACGACTGTCTTCTTGTGGGAGTGAATCCGGTGCTCACAACTCTAAGCTGTGAGTCCACAGCACTTTGACCTGTTCCTGTGCAGAAGGTGGTCTCTGGAAGTGCTACCCAGCTCGCCTAGCCCAGTCGGGGCTGAGTGGATGAGTCCAGTTGGTGGCACTGGCTCAAGGGCGATGCTGACAGGTGTTGAGCTTTAAAGCCCTAAACGGCCTCGGTCCTATATACCTGAAGGAGCGTCTCCACCCCCATCATTCAGCCCGGACACTGAGGTCCAGTG